CCTTCTCAACTAACGGTTGGCACCTGCTAGGAGTTAGATAAGGGTCCCCAGAATTCAAGCTGGTTTGAACTTAGCTTGCTTATGGCTACGTAGGGATTCTAGGCTGATCCCTCTTTTGACTCCTCCCCCAGGTTCTGCCAATCCTCCTTTTACAGGAAGGAGAACCAAACTGAACAACGATGCAGGTGGACAAACCTCTCGCTGGTCAGTGGCTTTGCTATATAAATATGGGGTCAAGTCTTCTACCTACACCAGGAAGTTACAGGTAGTCCTCAACATACAACGGTTTGTTTTTAGTGACCGTTCAAAGTTGAAAAAAGTGACTTAGGACCGTTTTTCTCAAACTTACGACCGTTGCAGCATCCCTAGTTGTCACGTGATCAAAATTCAGACGCTCGGCAACGGACTCGTATTTACGACGGTCGCGGCCTCCCGAGGTCACCTGATCCCCTCCTGCGACCTTCTGACAAGCCAAGTCAATGGGGAAGCCGGATTCACTTAACGACGCGTTACTCATTTAACGACGGCCGCGATTCGCTTAATGACCACGGCAAGAAAGTTGGTAAAACGGGGCAGGATTCACTTAGCAACCGTCTCGCTTAGCAACAGAAAACGTGGGTCATAAGTCGAGGACTACCTGTAGGTCCCGGTCCAAGTAGCTAACTTGGGCTGGGGAATTCTGGGAGTTGAAGTCCACCTGAGTTGAGGTGGGTGAGGTTGAGAAAGGCCGGCCCGGATCAGGGTCTCCCCCACCCCAGAAGCCCTTGCAGCCCTCCCTTCACTGGCATGTCCCAAAGCTAGCCCAAACAAACCCAGATTCCACCAGGTTTGTCCAATTCGGGGAAGGGTCCGGGCTAAGAAAGCTGCAGCTCCATCCCCGAAGCTAGAAGGGGTTTCCTCCCCCCCTCCAAGCCCCCAACTCACCCAGCAGCCCGAAAACTTGATCTTTGGCTTGGAACAATTCGGGGGCGTCCCCGCCCTGGGGGGTCCTGGCTTGGTACTCCTGGATGAGTTGGTTGAGTTCCGCGATCTGCACCCCGGAGTGGAAGTCCAGGTCCGTGAGGGGCTTGGCGGGGGCCGGCTTGGGGGGCTGGTCCTCGGGAGGAGAGGCCATGGCCGGTGTGTGTGTGTGTGTGTGTGTGTGTCACTCCAGCCCCTTCCTTGCAGAAGGAGAAGTGAGTCAAACCAGGGGAATAAGCCAGATTAGACCCTGAAAGTAAGCAGGGTCCGGATGGGTCTCGGGATGGGAGACCACGAGGAGACCCCCGGGGTTTCTAGGCTTCACCAGGAAGAGAAGGACGGGGACGCGCCCACAGGTGTGGCTTCGTGGCATCCGGGTTGGGACAGGTGCGACGCGGCAGCCTCCTCCCTCCCCCCCCCCACAAGCCTCTGGGGCGCCCCTTCCTCCTCCTCCTCCTCCTCCTCCCCCCCCCCGGCGTGGTCCTCAAAGGGCAGAAGCGGAGCGGAGCGAGCCCGGCGCTCCTTCCCCGCCGCCGCCCTGGCAGCATCCCGCTCACCTGCATCTACCTGGCCGAGCCGAAGCCCCGCCCACCGAGGGAGGCTGCCGCCAGGAACGCTGGGGGATGTAGTTCCAGCCACCTCCTCCTCCCCCCCCCCGCTTTGAAAGCATGCTGGGAGGGGCAGCCGGCCCTCTCTCTCTCTCTACTTTGGGGGGAAGACCCCCCCCAAACGGAGCCCGGGCGGGGGAGAGGCTAAGGGGTTCCCCCACAGCCCCCCCCGTTCAACATCCCCGCTAAATACCCCCCTTTGCAGCGTTCCCACGCTCGGGAGAGGGTCTTTCTCCTCCCTACCCCCCCGGGGAAATTGCAATTAGCTGACCCCCCCAAAAAAAGCCTCCGGAGTTGCGGTTTTCGGGGAACTAGACTCGTTTCCAAACGTCCGTTGCAAGGTGAGGGGGGAGCCTCGGATCGTCTGAACGCGTGCATTGATTGCAACTCGTAACTGACAGGCAGTTTCCTGGCTCCAGACTTTTCCCAGCGAGTTGGACTCCTGCACCCATAAGCCTCAGCCGAGAGATGGGGGGGCTCAGTACAACTCACTGCAAGGAGGGGGGTGGGCTTTGGAGTCCATGGAGGCCACGGGGTGGGGGACAAGCCACGAAAGGATGCTGGTGGTGGTGGGTCTTTATTCAGGGTGAGGGGCTCCTACTAAGAGGCTGAAGGTGTGTGTGTGTGACTTGGAGGTTACTGTACANGCCCCCCCTTGCAGCGTTCCCACGCTCGGGAGAGGGTCTTTCTCCTCCCTACCCCCCCCGGGGAAATTGCAATTAGCTGACCCCCCCCCAAAAAAAAGCCTCCGAAGTTGCGGTTTTCGGGGAACTAGACTCGTTTCCAAACGTCCGTTGCAAGGTGAGGGGGGAGCCTCGGATCGTCTGAACGCGTGCATTGATTGCAACTCGTAACTGACAGGCAGTTGCCTGGCTCCAGACTTTTCCCAGCGAGTTGGACTCCTGCCCCCATAAGCCTCAGCCGAGAGATGGGGGGGCTCAGTACAACTCACTGCAAGGAGGGGGGTGGGCTTTGGAGTCCATGGAGGCCACGGGGTGGGGGACAAGCCACGAAAGGATGCTGGTGGTGGTGGGTCTTTATTCAGGGTGAGGGGCTCCTACTAAGAGGCTGAAGGTGTGTGTGTGTGACTTGGAGGTTACTGTACAGCAGTATTTCTCCATCTCGGCTGCTTGAAGATGGGTGGACTTCAACTCCCAGAATTCCCCAGCCAGCTAGGCTGGCTGGGGAATTCTGGGAGTTGAAGTCCACCCATCTTCAAGTGGCCGAGATGGAGCAATGCTGCTATACAGGTTGTCTGTCCTTGACTTACAACATTCATTTAGCGGCTGTTCAAAATTACAGCGGCATTGGGGGGGGAAAAAGCGACTTTCAACCGGTCCTCGTACTTATGACCATCGTGGCACCGCTATGGTCCTGGGATCAAAATTCATGGGGTCTCACAGCCGCCGTTTAGCCTCCATCCCAGCCGGCTTCTGACAAGCGAGGTCAATGCGGGAGGCTGGATTTGTTTAACAACCGTGTGATTCACTTAAGAACCGTGACCAGAAAGGTTGTAAAAGTAGGGGGGGCTCCCTTAAGAAATTATTTTAAAATAATTCACTGTGTTGATGTTTTATAGTTTGATGCACATTTTAGCGTTTAAGTGTAATAGCTTTGTACCATATAGTTTTAACCTTGTTAACTCTCAAGACTCTTTTTTTCGGCTATGTATTTAAAATGAAGATAGATAGATAGATAGATAGATAGATAGATAGATAGATAGATAGATAGATAGATAGATAGATAGATAGATAGATAGATAGATACACACACACACACACACACACACACACATATAGATAGATATAGATAGATATAGATAGATATAGAGATATATGGAGATATATAGAGATAGAGATAGATACAGATATGTAAATATGTATGTGTGTATATGTTTATGTATGTGTGTATACATATAAATATCATGTATATGTGTGTGCATGTATGGGTATGGGTATATGTATATTTTCTTTTGAGAGCGGGCATCAAATTTCATTTTTTTAACGTGTGCCAGCGTGTTCACCGAAAAAAGCGACCATAAAATTTATCTTTATCTTACAAGCTGTTTTTGCGAATTTCAACGCGTTAAGGCTGCATTGTGTTAACGCCATACGAAATGCACACGCGCTCCCTTAACAACCGCTTTGCTTAACAGTGGCAATCCTAGTTTGTGGTCGTTAAGTCCAGTACTGCCTTTCTCCCACGTGGCTTCCTTGCGGACACACTCCCCGCATTAGCTTGTTTGCAATGGCATTGCACGCTCAGGGAGCCCACAAACCACCATTCAGGGTTTAGGATGCTGCCTGAATCTGGTGGCTTGTGCAACAGACCCTGATTAAGCAACCCTTGGTTTGGATGATATGCCATTTAGATGCTTTTTGTCCAGAATAGTTTAGGGCAAGGTTCTTCAAACTTGGCCCTTTGATGACTTGTGGACTTCAACTCCCAGAATTCCTCAGCCAGCGTGAGGGAACTAGGAACCTTTGATGACTTGGGGACTTGAACTCCCAGAATTCCTCAACCAGCGTGCCTGGCTGAGGAATTCTGGGAGTTGAAGTCCACAAATCATAAAAGGGCCAAGTTTGAAGACCCCTGGTGTAGGGTCTCCTGTTTGAACAGGGGGTTGGACTAGAAGACCTCCGAGGTCCCTTCTGTCATTCTGTTATGTTCCTGGGTTATTGGGGTTATCCAAACAGCACGTCAGAATGTAAATTATGTTGTTAGAGGGGCGCCAAAAATTAGGCTCAGGTTGAAAGGCAGATAAAATCATCGGCATTAACGCCGCTGTGCAAAACATTCTGTCCTCAAGGAAGGAGCTGATTGACAGCTGTCAAGAGGAAAAAGAGCGCGTGACTCTTTTGCATAATAGGCTTAATTTTCTGAGGAGCTGCTACCAGCAGCCTGCCAGGCATTTCCCCTCCCCGTCTTTCCCCACCCCCACCCCGGAGAAAATCAGGCAGGTGGGCAGGGCACTGGTGCTCTGGATGGGGAGGGTGAGGAAGGTCTGTGTGATTGAGTTTCTTGGGAGGGGGGGTTCCCCTCAAGCTGGAGCAAAGATTGCCCTCCCCCCAAGATTCGTGTTTAAGGCACCTAAAAAGAAGAGAGAAGCTATCAGAAGCTATCCACTGATGAAGCTGGAGCTGCAAAAATTGGAACAGCCACTAGGTGGCAGCCAAGGGTTTTCTGTCTCTCTTTACTGTCCCCCTGGTGGCCAGGTGGAGTATGGCAGCCCAGCTTCAGTAGGCCCGCCAAAGGTCTGGAGAGTCGACTCGCCAGAAGCCCACCATGGGCCAACAGGGGGCCTGCCCCCCCAGTTTCACTACTGTCTTGAAGGGGAGCCACATTGCACATGTCTGCGCACAGCTCCATTTGTGCGAGTGGTAGGCACGCGCACCCGCTGCTCGCGCAAATGGAGCACCTGCGCGCATTGTCAATTCGCTCAAGTGGGGGCGTGCACAGGTGCGTGCTCAAGCCCCGGTAGCGGACGGAGTCCTGGGAGCTGGGGGGCCCTGACTTAATCCGTGCCACTTTGGAGGGTCAACCCAAAACTAGGAGGGTGGCCGCCACGGGATGGGTTGAGGCTGTGTCTAGTTTTAGGTGCGCCCTTTCGCGACACACCCTGGGGACACACCTGGCTTGGTACAGAGGCAGAGTGGGTGTGTTTGTAAAGACAGCTGGACCCAAGGTCAACTGAGCAGCACGCCATGGGGTCTTTATGGGATGGATGGATTTGCCTTTAATGTTCGCTCCCCAAAGCAAGATGTGCCCACTTCGGACAGCTGCAGGTCTGTCCTTCCTCTCTTCTCCTCTTCTTCCTCCTCCTCCTCCCTCTCCCTGCTTTGCGCTCGCAGGTTTATTTGCTGCGGTACACCCAATCGGAGCCAGGTGGGGTCTCGCCCCGGGACAGACGTTTTGTGCCGGCTGCCCCCCCTTCGGTTGGGGTGGTCCCTGTTTGCATGAGGGTGTTGACCACGTTATGGAACCGGGGAGGACCCGCGGCTGGGACTTGCAGCTGTTGCATCGCGGGTGTCGGTGTCTCCGATTCCCGTGCTCGGCGCGACTCACGTGCTTCACGCGCTTCATACTCTGCCTGTTCATCCTGGCTGAGTGTCCGTCGCCGGTGGGCCCTTTCAGGGCTCGGCGACCGACTCCCCGGTGGGGTCTGAGGGTGGACGGGGTAGATGTACACTCTGGCAGGACGCCGGGAGACAGGATATTCTGCCTCCTGGCCGCTGGCTATGGAGCGACGCTGAGGCTCCCCCACCGGGACCCGTACGTACGGCTCGGCAGGCACCAAGGTGTTCCGCCGTTCCTCAGGCATAGTAACAACCTGGTCGGAAGTCCCAACGGCGACATCCCGGAAACGGGGGGCAGGATAGGCTGAGGGGGCCGAGGAGGTCCGGGGCCTGGGCCGGATGTCACATTCGCAGTTGTAATAATGGGGTGAGCCGCATGGCGGATAATCGGGATACATGTGTCGGTGATGGTGTTCCCTGCATCGGAAGTGCCCATTTTCCAAGTTCATGGTGACCTTGACCGGCTCCAG